AGTTGTCTTTTCTTGCATAAAAACACGGTTAGGTAGAGAGAGAATTCCTAAGTTCGTTGATCTACGTAACTTGGAGTGCTCCTATTACAGGTCGTGGTCATTGTATCTTGGGAGATAATTGACAAAAAGTCGTTAGCACTGATGCGGGGCAAATTCATCTTAAAGAGAGAGTTTCAAAAACTTGCATCAACCAATCCAATCACTTGCATTTCCTATTTTATTTTCTGATTTATTTGAACTTAAGATTTGATTTCTGAAAAAACTGATTATTCTTTTTATTATAGGAAATTTTTTCATCAAAGAATGAATGATTAAATCCGTTGTCACGTATTCAGCTTCAATAATTATCATTTCGTTTTCTCAAATCCTATTTTAGTAAGTCGAAACTATATTCGATTTTGCACACATAAAATGTACATTTTGAGAATATAAATCACGTACGTTATCAATGTAATATCCTCAACACTTTTGGCCTACAATGAAAATTGCAAGAGAACAAGAATAAGACGAAACGATTACAAAATAGTGTTTTATTTTTATTTTTTGGGAACGAATGCGTTTGTGAATCATGAATTTTGGAGGGTTAAAATCGAGTACTTTGGCTGTTTGGCGTGTCCTCCGAGCACTTGCAGAAAATTAAGCTGGAGTCTTCAATGTATTTGTATCAATTATAGACCTCTAACCATACAATTTTGTAGCACGTTAATGGCAAGTCAATTTTTTTAATAGTAGGGAGGAAGGCTGCGGTGTGAATGGTTGGGTATTATTCTCCTTTTTCCCTTCCCCTTTCCTTTTTCATTTTCTTAAAAAATTAAAATTTTACCAATTTTTTTTCCCTCTAAAAATCGTACATGCATGTGGCTGTCACGTGGAATTATAATAAAAATTTTCTACCATATTTATGCTACAAAATTGAAAGATTAAAACCTAAAGGGTTGAACCCCAATCTTGAGGGTCTTCCACCACCCCACTCCTAGAGCATTGTGGAAGAGGTAAATCGCGGAATGTACCTCAACAGGCCAAAGTACAAGAGTTACCATACTGGTGCTCACAAAGAGTCAAATTTCATACTTTGTAAGATGCAGGAATCGAATCGTCACACTGCTACTGCCAGCTCAGTTGAAATTACCTCACTCATCTCCTTTGCACCACTAACTATGTCCCGAGGGCGATTAAAACCTACTTTCTCTCTTTCAAAGTAGGTTGAAAACTCCCGCTGCTATTATTTTCGATGAAATTGAAAATGATTTAGCGATGTGATCAGGGGCGGAGCCAAGGGGGG